GGGTACGGGAGGAGGGAGGTAGCTCCCTTCTGGATACAGCGCGGTTTCTTTCTCTGGCCACGTGCAGAAGATGAGTTTCCTAGTTTCGCTAATATATATGCTTTGATGGCTTTGCTCTACTAAGGGAAGACGGATGACAGTGGGTCTCTTCTGACAGTATTAACAAGTATCAGTCTCCTGCAAGCTCCCAACGCCCCAAAGCCATCCTGCTAAAGCATTTCACGTCGCTCTGGCGTAACGCCTGTGCCTTTGGTGAGCAGGCGATGGTGGGGCAGCAGGCAGAGGAGCCGTGCTCAGCCTTTCCTGCATGAGTGCATCCTTCCGAACCTCCCTGGCGATCACAGTGTTCTCCTCCAAAGCTGTGGTGGGATGCGTCTGTAGGGACGCAGGGTTTGCTGCGCTGTCTTGGCAGTCTGTCTGCCTTGGGAGAAGTTGTCCTGCGCTGCACGTTCTTTTCTGATACTCTGTAAAATTAGCTAGAGAGCAAGGAGAGAGCTTAAGTGTTTTAATTAAGATTTCTATACTCTGGCTTCCACCCTCTACAGCACAAGGCTGGTGCTGTTACAAGAGGTTCCTTCCGTTGTAGTCTGTCCAGAGAAATCCCACTCTTCGGCTGCTGATGAGAAAGGACTAAGATAGGAACACTACTATATGACATATTTTAGTTTTGTAAGGAGATGCAGCAGGTTGACGCTTTATTTGGTGACTGCTGGAGGTTTATTCTGAAGGCAGAATAGTTTTTTCTCAGAGCAGGCATTAACTCAGAGCAAATATCTTCAGCCAGAACAAATAGAGACTTCACCTTGTCAACCTTATGGATGAAGTTGTCTCCTTTTCACGCCGCTCCATTGACTTGAAGCACTTCAGTGAGGAGATCATCATTGCCATCACCTGACGGAGCTATTCAAGGAGAGCCGTCCCGTGCATCTCAGGCACGCTTTGCAGGGCGCACGCAGCAGTAAAACCGCTACATTAAAAGGTCCTTTATTAGGAAATGAAAAGGCTGCTGTGAGCAAGCCATCCCTCTGAAACCTGCACCAGAAATACAGGTCAGAAGCACGTCTCTGAAGCGCACTAAGCCTTTCGGGGAATATCCAATAACTGGGTTAATAAAGAGTTCTTGCTGTGTAAGGAACAGGATGCATCTCATATACATTAATTCTCCATAATGAGACTTCTAGACAGCAACTCCAAGCCATGGTCAACGTTACCTGAGCCACTACGTGATAACATGCCGAAAGCTGGGATCCGAGCCGCGTGGCAGGCTCCTGGGTTGCTGTGCTGGTTTTGGCTGGGATACAGTTAATTTTCTTCATAGTAGCTGGTATGGGGCTGCGGTTTGGGTTTGTGCTGGAAACAGTGTTCATAACACAGGGACGTTAAATGGGGACAGTTGCTCGCGTGCAACAATTTGTACGCAGACAAGCTTGCAACCTCCTGTTTCTGATGTAGTAGAATATGCTTCTGGAGTGTAGGGTCTGTGAGCGTTAATTTTGGCTGTGGCATGAGCAAATGTGTGCACAGGATGCAGTTCCTGGTGGGATGGAGGGGGTGCGATGTGCCCTGGGCACTTCATTTTAATACAGCAAGTGCCTTCTGCCTTTGTGTTAGAGAACTATTTCTCTTCTGAATTTACCACCCAATGCGGGTACAAGATCTTTCCGAGCAGGGAAATGCCATTATGCCGCTAACTCAATATCCTGACCAAGCTAGTGGTGATTGCCTTATCTGCATGCTGAAAGCTGAACCTCCTTCCTGCTGGGCTCCGAGAGGGACCAACAATGGGATCATCCCTTCAGACTCCGCAAGTGTTCCTGGTCCTTCTTCTACCGCAGAACAGGTTGTAGTCCTCTGCCCATTGCTTGAGGGAAAACTCAACTGCTCTTTTCTCAGGACTTGTATATTGAAGAAAAGCAAACCTATGAAGACAGCTGTCTCTGAGCATGGTTCAGTGCAGCGGTAGGTGATGCCTGGTCAGGTGACTGATTTTCATGGGAGACGGGTAGGACCTCCCTGTCCTGGTGCCCTGTTCCGGTGGCTGTTGCACACAGCCCAGGGAACCGCAGCCATCCTTTGGAAAGGTCTGCAGTAGCTCTGAAGGTTTCTGTCTACAAGAGGGACTTAGCACAGAAATGGTTTATTCAGCAAATGCAAGGGCAAGCTACTTTTTCTTTATCAAAATTTTTTTGGCTGTTCTTGAGGGTTTCTGTATATATTGTCAGATTTTTGTGTTAATGCATTAACCCTTTCTGCTCCTTTATACGTCTTGACGTTTTGTAGGACATGCTGCTTAGCAGAGGAGCCTTTGAATGTTTACTGCGTTCTATAATGAACAGTCTGTGGAGACTGTATCGTTCCTAGTAACTGCGAAAGACTGTCTTTGTCAGCACTGAGGATGCCGCTCTGATCCTGAGCGAATTACGGCACCTGGTGTAGCACCAAGCGCCGCTACGTCATAAGCTTCCTCAATAGCTGCACAATAGCTAAGTAATATTTGCCGCACGTTAAATCTTAAATACTGTTTTTGTGCTCTTGGTGAAGTAGCACCAGCTTGCATGTCTTCATTAGCCATCCTTTCTGTCTCTATTTTAGTGTACATCGTAAACTTGGAATTAATTGCTGCTGCTTCTTTTAGAAATATAGTGAAATTCTCGTGTTCTCTCTGTTTGTCCTCATCTCTCTCTCTCCCCAACTCCCTCGAGTTGATTTCTAAAGATTCTAGTTTTTCCATACTCCTGAAGCCTTTCTGTTGCTCTCTGACAGCACCTCCAACAATAAAATTTGTCCAGTACCATTGGTGCTCTGATCCCTTTGCCCCCCCCTTTCCTTGTTCCAAGTTACTACCTTTCTGCCTTCCTTTTTTCCAAAAGTTGACCTGCAGAACTGAAAGTACCTTTTGAACATTACCCCCTCCTTCCACCCCTGGCTCTCCTAGCACAGAGTAATACAAAAACAAAGTTTTTGATGAGAAATCAAACACTGATTCCATACTTGGAAGCCAACGAGCTGCTTTGATTTTTTTTTTTTTTTTTAAATCGTACTTGAAGTAGATACTTGCAAGTGGTTTGGGAAAAGAAATATTCCTGCGCCTTGAGAAAGCATCTTTTCTTCTGAAGCTGGCAGAGTGCAGAAGAGAAGATATGGCCTCTTATTTTACCGGTCTAGCACGTGGATCATGTGCACGTGGCTTGTGACCACATCAGAGTGCATTAAGCACCCTCTGTGCATGGTGGTACAAATAGCATCACTTTACCCATAGAGTCTCCAGTTTAAAAATATATATTATATTTATTGATAGCTCACTCCAGGTTTGAAAGACTGAATGCCATTTTAATGGGTTTGGTAATCTACAGAGTAAATCAGGAGGAGCTTTTTTAGATGTAGGTTTATTCATGTTTCTTTATAGTCTGAACGCCTCTAGAATATTTCTTCTGGTAATGATGATTATGTGAGCAATATTTCAGAAGCGTGTATCTAACGCCACTCATGGACGTGCTATAGAACCAGAGAAGTGCTGGCTGTAAGGTCTCTTTGTAAAAATATATAATGAACGCTGGCAATGCCACCAGCCTGCTTTAACCATGGTAAATCTTCCCTGTTTCTGGGTGCCGGACTAATTAATAATGACCAGCGTGTTCATTTTACAAATCAGCTGTCCCATGGCTCTACAGCAGGACAAATGTTCTCAGACTTGCCGAGTGCTCCGGGAGAGGCAACTCTTAGCAGATGCCATCTTGATTATGAGACTACCTGAGAGCGTGACATGCATTTACATAGGTTGCTTGTTGCTTAATTTGCTGTCCTAAGAGGATCTAGGTCTTCTGAATAATCTGCCATAAGGAGGTAACAAATGTATAATTACAGAAATGTAGTTTAAGTTTGCTAAGATCAAAATAGTTGAGGCCTAGTGAACATAAAGCAATTTAAGTAGTGAAGAGCTTAATTTGTAGCTAATAAGCAGTTAAATTATTTTACCAGGTTTGTGTCTAACAACTCAATTCTGCAGTAAAACAAACCCATATTTACTCAAGTCTACGGCCAATTTATTACACTTCTAATCATCTAAGAATGATGCTATTAACACAGCCCTGCTATAATGAGGAAGGCTGTAACAAATCTGTTCTTGGATAAGACAGTGCAATAATTATTCTATTAGAATTGCAAAATGCAGACACCTGAGGTGTAAGGCCATCTCTCAGTCCACCAAAATAACACCTTAAATGGCTCTTGCTCTACGTTTGTCTCCTATTGACTTTGCAGCTTCAAGCCATTTCAAGCTGTGAAGGAAAAGCGTACCCAGGAGGTCAGCCCCGCTCCGCTTTAGCCTTAGCGATTTGCCAAGTCCCGTACCAAGGCTGCAAACGTACAAATAGCCAAAAAGGTTCTCAGTCTCAGCTGGAAATTTTAATTCCTCAAATTCCTTCTTTTCTCACCAAACCCCAAACTTTTGTCTTCTTCCACTCATGCAAATCTAACTGGACTCTTAAGTGACTTAAAATCACTCTGACTTCTCCTAGATCCATAGGAATCGATAGTCCTAAGACAACCTTCAGCCATCCAACTGCAGTCAAACTGGCAGCTATGCCAGTGAGGCTGAAGAGCTGCTGTGTGTTCTCGTACCTTTTTTTACCCCTCTGGAGGTGGTTGTTGATTTGGTCTTGGTGCTGATCACCAAATTAGCTGCATGCTGAAGAGCTGGTCTTGCTTTAGGTTGGGTTGAGAGGTGAGGGAGCTTATATGGTGGCTGTCCACGTTGTACCAATACTAAAGTCACCCTACGTACAATGCTGAGAGTCAGCGATGGTTTCTGACTTCAACCAGCAAGAACGTGCCGTCTCTCGTCTCTGAAAAATGGTGGCTTTACTTTTCCCCTACGCTTGACGTGCAGCAGCGCACATGAATAATGTTTGGTCTGATAGAACAGTGGTTTTGTTGGCTCTGTGGATCTGTTCCAACTAAGTGATGTTTGCTTTGGTTTTGTTGTACTTGAAGGCGCCTCGTCACCAGACATGGAGTCCAGCTATGGGGGAGGCTTGCTAGATATGGTGAAAGGAGGAGCAGGGAGACTCTTCAGCAATTTGAAGGATAACCTGAAGGATACCCTGAAAGATACATCTTCAAAGGTCATGCAATCTGTTGCCAGGTACAGTACAGCTGAAGCTGCCTAACGCAGGTAAAATCACTAACTGCAAAGTGCCTGGCTGAGCTGCCTCCTTAGCTAGCACGGCGCAACTTCCAGCTAACCCAACGAAGGAGGTGAAAACCACAAGTGACTTCTCTGATTCTGTCTCATAATTGGTATTTGACCTCAAGGAAACAGGAAAAACAAAGTAAAAAATAAAATCTAAGCTTTGTAGTAAGTGAGGACCAACATCCTGAAATCTGGAAAAGCCCCCCCACCCCCTAGTGAAAGTGGAGCAATTGGTCTCTGGTTCCTTCATCGACCCCTGTGGGGTCCTTCTACTCAGCCACCACTAAACTATTTTGTCACTGAGAATTGGCTCATGTTGCATGCCTTCCCTTTGCTGTGCAAGGAGGCTCTTCTTGCTGATACAACCGTTCCCTTTGCTCCAGCCACCTTTTGAGTAGAAGAAAGAGCTGAGGTGACTTTGCTTTGGTTACCTCTGCTGGGGTTGTCCTCTGTGCTCAGCACTCTATCTGCCTCTGAGTGATATAGGGCTGCAATAAATTTAAGAAATTTAATGCAGGCAAGACCTCAGAGGCTTTGAGGCATCTGCAAAGCGGCAAACTATTAGAGATTTCTCCTGAAAACTGGCACTGAAAATTAATGACAAAAGGGAAAAGGGACCTTTTTTGCAAGCTTCTGCATCCAGTTAATTGAGTATGTAGAAGGGAAGGCTGGGTCGCTGTCTGCAGGAAGCTATTTGCACCCTTTTCTTAAGGCATAAGGACAAAGAATCAGTTTTAAGATTGTTCTTTCCTTGTGTCACAAGCAGATCTTTGTGGGAAAACACTCTTCCCCTGGTTCCCCTAAAGTGCTGTCTTCCGTAAACGTGTGCATAATGTCTGTCTCCTACTTTGTCTTCTTTTAGTTACACCAAGGGAGAGCTAGATATTTCGTACATTACCTCAAGAATCATAGGTAAGTACTGCTTATTGGATAAATAAAACTTGTAGTATCCCAGGGTTCAGAAGTCCCTAAACGCGTTATGGTGCACACTCAGCCTGGCTTCTTCTTACGTTTCTAGTGATGTCTTTTCCGGCTGAAGGCGTTGAGTTGGGATTCAGGAACCACATTGAAGATGTAAGGACGTTTTTGGATTCCAGGCATCCTGACCACTACACCGTCTTCAACTTGTCACCCAAGTATTATCGCAGTGCCAAGTTTCACAACCGGGTGAGTGTCTTCCACGAGGTTAACAAGAGCAGGGGGTGAAACTTTTTGGGGAAAGGTTCTGGCTATTCTTTGCATGGCAGAACGTAAGAAGATGAAAAAGGAATTATAGGTGTTTCTAAGCTGCTGTGGTCATTTCTGGGTTTTGGCTGATGCCTGGGACCATGGGGATTAAAGAGCTGGAAAGTTCAGGGCATAATACTTGTGTTAGGAGCCTGTGAGAGCATGTGGCGTTGCACTAAGTTGAGCCCGTGCTGCTCTTGGCTCCTACGTAGCTGTTAGAAGCTGCTGCAGAGAAATGAGGAGTAAAATGAAAGCGCTTTGGCAGAAATTACTGAGAAGGTAGATTATTTTCATGTTGAACCATCCTTCAGTTGTACTTTAATCAAGCAGGAGCCCTTAGCAGCAAAGCACAGGGCTGGAAACTGGATTTAAGGGACACTTTGGCTCTTCCATTGGCATATGACTTTAAAAACCAGCCTCCACTCTCTGCCCCAGTTTCCTTCCCTAAAACCAGAACAGCATACGGGAGCATTGCAAGGCTCGGTTCATTAATGGCTTTTAGAGGAAATCTCTATGAAATACTGCTGCTGAAATGCAAGATTAGATCTAATCTTTCAGAAAACTTCCTGTTCTTTCCCTCTCCCGCAAGGGAGTGATGATTTTTTTTTTCTTATTTTTCATTGCCTTCAACAAAAAAGGCAACAGCAGTTGCCAGGCTTAACCCTCAGTCAGGGTGAGCGAATCTCATGCTGCATAAGCCTCATTTCATTTTAATTTGAGGTATCGCTGAATCTATCTTCAGCAATTGCTCTGCTCACCACAAATCACTGACGCTTGAAGCGAATTTCTCAGTGGCAATCGGTAACCAGCCATGACTTCAAATATGAGTAAATGAATGGGAAAGACTAATTAAAAGATATCGAGGGCTCTGCATCTTCCGTCTCGCATGGTTCTGTTGTATCACTGTTGCTGTTGGTGGGAGGAGGAAGACAGATCTACTTTGAAAGCCCAGCATTAAACACCTGTTGGTATATTGCTTGACCTGGCCATAACTCCTCCACCCCCTGGGCTTTATCTCCTACCCTATCCAATGGCTAGACAATCGATTTCACATCTCGCACTTGAAGTATGACTGGGTGCTTTGTAAGCTATTGCCTTGACACGTACGGGAAGAAAATGATGCCTCTTTGATTAAAATATTGTACTTTCAGGTTATGGGCTAGGACATACTGACTCCAGGTATTTTTCAGGAAAATGAAATATGCAGAACAGAATACGTGAGATCAGATGAAACATGAAACAATTACAAATATGAGGTTGAACTTCATATATATTGGAAAAAAATAGTAACAGGCTATCAAGGAGGTAAAATCACATGAAGAGTATTTTCTGGATGCAGATGCCAGATGAGCTGAAGTTTTGAGATGCAGACTTGTTCTTTGAAGTGAAAGGCTTTCCAATTTCTATATCTTGTTTAAAACTTGGGCTGTCTTCCTGCCCTGGCATGGCAGTGCGGGGCACGAAGCCCCAGGCGCCCAACTTATTGAGGAGAAGAGGGGACTATGAACACTAAAACCTGCTGCTCAAATCTATTTGCGTTCTGTTTTCCCCCCTGCCTTGCCACTCCGGCCGGAGAGGAGAGCTCGTGGCTGCTCGAGGAAGTGTGAGCAGTTTGAAAACATATAACTCAAATATAGCATTAAACAACAAAACCAAACTTCAAAGTCCCTGACGGGTCACATTCTTGGCTGTTGCTGCCCTACTGCTCAAGTAAAACAAGCGCTGGCTGCTTGTCTCCAAAGCTCTAGAAGAATTCCTGTTACTCTTCTGTACGGCTGCCCTTTCGTGAGCGGTGGCGAGGTTGTTTGAAATAAATGGAATGCTACGTAGCGCGTATTTAATTTCCTAATTGTGAACCAGCAGGCAGAGGTGTAATTACAGGCAAAGTAAATATATAATTATGGACTGTTGGGAAATGTATATTATTTACTTGATAAGTGATAATGGCTTTTCCAGATGCTTGAAAGTGTGTTGTCATGAGGTTTGTTCAGAAGATAGTCAGTGAAAGGGTCACCGGTCATATTAATTTTAACAGCCACTTGGAATCTGAATTGTGTTTTAGTGATCTAATTGCGAGTAGATCTTGTGCCTTCAGAAACCTGGTGCAAAAGTATTTGGGGTTTGGAGGAGAAGACTTTCACTTGATATAGAAATAATAAAGTAATTGGCATGATAATATAAAATATGTGATTTATGGTATCGCTACTCTGGCTTTATAAGAGAATTGAATACATGTTTACGATCACTTTGTAATTTGGATTTTACAATGGTCCTGTACCTGCAGCAGTGCCAGGTCTGTGGGACAGGAAGGTAACGCTTGGCCGTTCCTGTGCCGGGGGTTACCACACAGGGAACCTTTGGGTGTTTGGTGCCCCCTCAGCCCTTCCTGAAAATGCACAGAAAAGGCAGAGGAAAGGGAAAATCAAGTGTATACAACAGGAGCAATGAGATAAACTACAGCTCTCGAGACAGGAGAAGACGGGGGATGAGAATGATGCTGTAGAGAGGTAAACAGGGAATGGTTCTTCACTGCCTTCCAAAGCTTGAGCATGGATTGACTCGTTGGGTAGCTTCTACAACACAAACCTGCACCCACTCACCAAGCGCACAGCTGAATTCCAGGATTTGGTGGAGATGACAAACTTTCCTGAGTCTAAAAAGCAATTAGACAAATATCTAATTAGATATTAGATTTGACCAAAAACCTCCTAAACGTTCCGCAGAGGTCTGCCAGCTGAGAGGCAGGCAGGAGGACGGATGCACTGGGTTAGGCAGTGCTGCCGGCGTGTTCTGTCCCTGGATCCTCTGCGCATCACCGGACCCGGTGCTTGAGACAAACCATGGCTTGGTAATTCCCCGGTTTGAGTCGGGATTCCCGTTTCTGCTGTAAGATGTTGTGCAGGTGTACGTAAGAGAGAACCTTACATACAAGTTTTATGAAACCTGGAGCACTTGCTTCTGCTGAGAGATGAAAGGTCAGGTGTGGAAATGGTATGGCTATTTAAGAACAGCTGGGCAAAGCATCTCCTTCCTGCCCCCGGTTCTCACTAAACAGGATCCAAATGTCAGCCGAGAGAGAGAACCAATTCTTTGTCTGAGGACAAGCCTCATGTTGTTTCTCCTTTAAATTTCTTCTAGCCAGAAATGTCTTTAAAAAAAAAAAAAAATTTAAAAAAAAATTAAATTAAACCCAGATGAAACAGAGATGTCTGTAGAAGGCTGCTTGATGTGCTGTTTCAGACTGCAAGGACTGTTCTTGAGATAAGTGTTCTGACTCAGAACTAGTACATTGATGAATAGTAACTAGACATACTTTAGGATTTGTGTTTTTTCAGCTCTAAGAAGTAATTCATTTTCCTGGCTCATATATTAACTACACTCAGATATGATTGTTGTTTTCTTCAGGAGAAGTTTCCCTTTAATCAGTCTAATATCTGTCGAATAGGGCTTGAAAATCCTGTGACACAAAATGACTGAGAACAACAGATGCTCAGTATCCTTTGAAAATCAGAGCCGTAGTTTTTAGGGACAAGTTGTACAAAGGCGTTAGACATAGCAGAAATCAATGCGCTGCTGCGAGACTGGAGTGTTACAAAAGGCCACTCAAAATAATCTGACTTGGAATGTAAATTTTTTAAAAGTGTATAGTCAGTGACAATACATCAATATAATGTTATTTAACTGAGAATTTTTTTTGGTTTGTTTCCTCATAATTCATGAAAGTCACAGAGCAGAATTATGCATGAGAAGAGATGGAGTAGGTTTCAAGCACACAACTCTAGGTTGTAAGAGAGAAGTACGTTTCTTGGCAGAAGGTGTTTGTAAAAGCATGCCTTGCTTAATGCTCTTATGAAGCTGCCTTTTGTTCACTGTGCGATTCCTGCAGGTATCCGAATGTAGCTGGCCAGTACGACAAGCGCCCAGTCTGCACAACCTCTACGCTGTCTGTAAGAACATGCACAACTGGCTACAGCAGAACCCCAAAAACGTGTGTGTCATCCACTGCATGGTAAGTACACCGGAAAGGAACTACGTTTTTAGACCTATGAGTCATAAGTCATATTGCATGTTGTGTGTCTGGAGTCTGCGTACAAGGATGGTGACAATTTCTAATCCAAAAAGAAATGTAATAAAACTGACCCCATGGAAAGGGGCTTCATCTGCCATGTGCAGGTACATAGCTAAGCTGGAAGACCTAACGCTGAACAAGAAGCAGGAACGCAAAGCAAGAGAGGTCACAATTGTTCTAGCAGTGAACTGCTAGAGGTGACGAGGAGCAAAAAGGTTTAAACTTGACCTGAGCTGTCAGCCCGCTACGGCTTTGCATTTTATTGTAAGTAGTCGCAGAACAAAATGCAGCCTCCAGACTGAAGGTTACTGATGGAAGTTGGGGAGAAAACACGTAGTTGGGAATTCTGTTAAACTGTGGAACTGAGATTGTTAAAGTCTCTTGTGGCTGCTACTTGCCAGGCCTGGCTGAAGAAGTCCAGTTGCCTTCTGCTCCTCTTTGTGCACCACAGCTGAAATGGTTGCTAAATCCCCCTTAAGGGTTACTTGGTGCTGAGCAACATGTAGATAGGATGGATGCATGACAGTGGTGTAATTCTGTATGACTAACTTGTAATTTACCCCATACAACCTTTAATATTGACAGCAATGCCCAAAAGGAGAGTTCTAGTTTGCTCCAGGAGCCTAAATTAAATCCAGGAGGCTGTCAGCCCTGATCAGCATAAACTGGAAGGAATGGGGGAAATGGCTGATCCCAAACCGCATAGACCTTGCGTACGAGCCAGGTGTTTCTGCCTTGTGCAGGACAGCCAACGGCTCCAGGATATAAATTCCATTCAGAGATGAAGATGCACTCGATGCCTCCAGTCCTGGAAATCTAGCTCAAGAATCAAATTCCTTTTCTGTCCTTTGAGCAGTGAGTGTCTGAATAACGTTGTAAAGGACAAGGAGTCCTTTTTAACACTTTCCAATGAGTCTGCAGAAGCCCACTTAGTTTACATCAACCTGAGACATCTTTTCAGAGCAATTGGCAGGGGCTAAACCTTAAAAACCCAAATATCCTGTTAACCTCGAGCATGTGCTCAGGCTCGGCAGGTTACTGGGGTCTGGGTCAGCTCTGGTATGGCAAATCCTACAGTACAGCTGGAGTGCCTAAGAGGTGCCTGAAATAAGTACTTGCAAGGAGCCTGTGTAACTTTTAACTTGTGTTTCAGACGTTGAGGGTGACTGCCTGCCTGGTGGGGCAGTAGGTTTCCCACTCCTTGTAAATGACTTCTGGGATGTTCTGTCACCCTCTGACAAGCGGGTGATGAGCTGGGTGGCATGGTGCTTTGGTAGCACCGAGCAGGCTCTCGTACCCATCGCTGTGCCAGGAACGTGCATCCAAAACTTAGCAGGCATCAGACCCAAATTTTGGTGGAAGCTGGTGGAAGGGCTTTTTGTTCGGCTCAGCAGAGTTGGGGTATGGTCCGTATGGCTCATCACCTCATACGTTCCTGGGTATAGCAGGGACCCGGGGCGCTGGGGACACTTTGATTCTTGTTTGCTTTTTCTGTATTTTTGGTCTTTTGGTACTGGTTTGACTGAGCAAGCACGCTGCCCTTTGTTATCACCCTAAATAAAGTGTAGACTTGTCCAGGAGCAATCTGTAGGTTGAGGGCCGTGGAGCTGTTTGGGTGAGGGAGCCTTGAGCTGGATTTTTTTGTTGTTGTTCATGGACTCTCCTAAGTTAAATTTCTATTAGGTGACTGCCTGCAGCTGTGGGATGGGTGTACTCTGACCCCTGTGGTCAGTTCCAGGCCTATGTTTGAAATAATTAGAACATTACAGCTTGGGAGCAGCCATGAAACTTCAACATTTGTAGACAAAATGTACTTCTGGGCTTTCAAAACATGGTCAAAACCATCTTCAGCTTTGGCTGCTTACTGGATCTTGTCTTAGCTTTTGATCCAGGCCAGTGCCACTCACTGAAGTCCTAGGTATTAAACAAATGACACAGCACTGGAAACTCCTCATTCTCATGTGATCTCATTCGTAGTCTTTCTGGAGAAATTATTTCATGTGATTTAAGGACGTGCAGAGGGTGTTCTGTTGAAATTTAAAGGATGTCTCTGGTACTTATACATTTTCTTTTTTTTTTTTTTTCTCCCCCTGCCTCTTTCCTTAACAGGATGGCCGTGCAGCCTCAGCCGTTCTGGTCAGTGCGATGTTCTGTTTCTGTCACCTCTTCTCTAATCCAGGCCCTGCTATGCAGCTGCTGAACACAAAGAGACCTGGAATTGTCCTGTGGCCATCTCACAGGAGGTAGAGTATGGCTGAACGCTACGCGAGTGAGCTGTATCCCTCACGCTACAAACTGCCCAAGCAGTAGTCGTGCGTTAGCCGTCGTACTTCGTGTTGACAGCTCTTAACTGATGTTTGTGGCCACTTCCATTTTACCCACATTGATATAACAGTAACGGAGGAACAAAATCAAATATTACAATAGCTTTGCTCGCTAGTTCAGGAGAGCTGACAAACCTGTAGTTAACAGGGTGGATCCCTGTAGTTAACCTGGGTGAATCCCTCTCCCTATTGCAACTTCATCCTTGCAAGAGTTTACACTGTAAAAATGTCTTTTTTTACAATTTCCATTAAGCAGAGGAAAAACTGCCTGTCAGAGCAAACCAAAGATACAGTGTTACGTGTGTAATAATAATGATCCTTCAGCACATGACTAACAAAGTGATTCATCCGCTATGTGCGTGTAAAATAGAAGGCAAACTTCTACTGGTAAACCAGAAAAAGTGTTGCTCAGTACCTTTGCTCCTAAAAGGTGAGGAGGAATGATCTTCAGCTCAGAGCTAAAGGCCAACTTCCTTCCTCTTCAGTTCCAGTTCCTGTAATTAAACAGAAGTGATTTTGTGCTAGCTGCAAGGATGCTGGAGTATGTGGAAACTCCAGCCGTGGAACTCGGAAAGAATTGCACTTTCACTGGATTTCATGGTACCGAATGAAAATTGCTCACCTGGGATGGAGATTTTAGCAATGGCTTTCTCTGTCTGCAGATACATAGGATACATTTGTGATCTAATAGCGGACAAGCCCATCATTCCTCACTGCAAACCACTTACTATCAAGTCCGTCACCCTCAGTCCAGTCCCCTGTTTCAACAAGCAACGAAATGGCTGCCGGCCCTTCTGCGACATTCTCAGCGGAGAAACCAGAATCCTTACCACTTCCCAGGAGTATGAAAGAATGAAGTGAGTTTCTGGGATCTCCTACCATCCTTAGGAGCTTAATGCGAGGAGGCTTTCCTTTTGCTGTGACGTGTCTAATACCTGTGCTGTGGTCATTGCTGGACTGCCCGATAAATGAAGGAGTGCATATATTAATTGAAAACTAGTGCCTAGTGTTGAAATAAACTGCCAGAATGAGTCTGAAGTTGTGATGCGGTGGGATACCTTCACAGAGATAGTTCAGTGCTGTGTTGGTTTCCTCTGAAATGTTGCTGTTTCAACTAAGCCTAACACTAAGCAGAGCGCTGAACGTACCTTCTGTTTGCTTGGCCTGAACAAGATGATGTTGTTGATGGGTGGTAATGGTGTTGTGGGAGGGACCTTAACTGGATTTCCTTCTCTTCCCCCTCAAAGAGAATACCGTGTGCAAGAAGGGAAAGTCCTGATTCCACTGGGAGCCACTGTCCATGGAGACGTCGTCGTTTCTGTCTACCATATGAGATCGACCATCGGGGGACGCCTTCAAGCAAAAGTAGGAGTTTGTTTAAATTCTCTTGCATGGTAGAGGCAATACAGCTAACTAAGAGATGGCTAAATATGGGGTCTAAGAATACGCATGGCATTTGTGATGGAAGTTTCCTTACTTGACAGCAGACATAACACAAAGTTGAGCAGTGCCAAGTGACAATGAAGAACCTCATATGGAGAAGTCCATAATGCCGCTGATACTTTAATCCAAGATCTCAATAATTTTCCTGATTATATGTTTGAAACCTTAATATTCAAGTTGCAGAGTGTCCAATTAATGTTTTTCGTTTCTCAATTTGTTATTGGCACTGCTTGCTGTATAGATGATGCTTTACTGAAGCCTCTACTGCAAGGGAAATGGTCTTACGTCTTCCTGGGGTACAAACCTATTGCTCCACTGTATTCAGCGGAAACAGATAATTGGTTTCATTTAACTGCTAAGGTGTCAAGTAGATCCCAGAAATAAAGACAAGCAGGGAAAGAAGGCATATTCCTGCACGCTGTGAAGGCACTCTGCTGTATGGAGGCACCAGCAGCAGGGTTTCAGGCAGATGGAAATACCTGGCTTTGAGAAGGAAAAGCTCTGCTTTCTGTAGAACGAGCAGAACAAATCAGCTTATATAGCAGTTATCATGAGTCTATATAGTAACTGGTAGTAAGGTAGACTTAACTGTCTGCATGTGCTATAAATATTTCATTAATTTAAGCACTTGTTCAGTCTGGTGCTCTGTGGTTTTGTTTGGGTTTTTTTTTTTTTTTTAGATGACCAACACACAAATATTCCAAATTCAATTCCATACTGGATTCATAGCCCTGGGAACAACCACACTAAAATTCACCAAGTGAGTATTTTATGCTGAACATTAATCAAACCTGAAGCATAAAAGAAGCCTTATGAAGGCTGAAGGAGAACGTTCATAGATGAAATGTGAAGAGTCTGTGTGCATGCCTATATTGAAAGAATTTATATAGCTTTGCAGAAATATCCTTTCTTTTGTAACTGAACAACTCCTTGTCCCAATTTAGGCCTGAACTGGATGCCTGTGACTCTCCAGACAAATATCCTCAGCTCTTTCATGTTATACTGGAGATAGAAATACAGTCTACTGATAGACAAACTGAATTAACTCCCCCATGGGAGAACTTCACGACAAAAGACATCAATCCAACCATTCTCTTCTCCTCTCATCAGGAGCATCAGGACACTCTTGCTTTGGCAGGTAAGAGCTGCATAGATTTATTCAATTTACATGCCCACCCGCATGCTGAACTTTGTTTTGCTTGATTTTATTTATTTGGTGCTCTTACTGCAGGTAGAGGTCCCACTGATTCACCCCAGGATAACATAAGAAATGTTGGACAGAGTGCATTCTTCTCATCTCTCAGCTGGCAAGGTATGCAGACTTGGTCTTCCAAGTAAAATCTGCTTCAAACAAGACAAACAATTTTTTTTTTTTCTTCCCCCCCCCCTCCTCCCCGGAGCACAGAGTCACGCTGAAGGATCTGATTGTAACGTGTCTTTCCCATTAGATCACAGTGTACTGCTGGTCACACCCTTATGTTGCAATTGAGTGGGAATTAATTTCCTACAGCGTCCTCTTCGAACATTGCCTGCTTGTGCCATAAATGATAATTATCGACATTGTTCTAGCGTAAAGCTTCACCATAGGTCTACTTGATACTAAAACCAAATTTAAGCCGCTTTTCCCTAATATTGCACTATATATATAGTGTTATGAGAATGTAGCACTGAGAGTTTGTCGGAGAGGCCATTTAATAGCGCTGAAAGCCTCGAAAACCTCACGACGCTGCTGAATGCAGCATCCCTCCTCCGGCATCGGCGCTGCGTTAGGCAGGAGCCTGGCATGAGGTCCCTGCGGGCACAGCTGGGAGGGTGGTTTATGTCCCTACTCCTTTACAATGAGCCTTGTTTGGCCTGGATTTTGAGGTATGGCTGGAGAACGTCCTGGGTGCTTGGTCCTGACCCAGAAACTTGTTCAGTTTGTATCTGCGGGCATTATGCTTGCTGGTTCTTCAGGCTTGAGGAGAGTCAATTAACCTCCATCCGTGTTTCCTGATCAATAAATCTGGCTCCTTATGATACAGGGCAACAAAGACTTTAGGTTAATCTTTGCAAAGGACTGTCATTTTAAAACCCAGCAAAATGCTGCGGTAGGTTTCTCAGTAGCTTTTTGTTCTGCATATAAGCTGATTTTTTACAGGACCTTTGTGATGACAAAACTAACAGCTACCTAATTTTATCTTTAATCATCATTTAGATCAGAAATCTGACAAAAGTAGCTCTCACCCCACCTCAGAGGATCGAGCAGCGTTGGTGCATGAGGAAAGCGAACAGTCAGATGACGAACTCTTGTCCCTTTCCAGTCAGCACAGTAATGCCAGTGGTGACAAGCCTCACGGGACACCAAAACACAGCAAAAAGCAGCAAGAGCCTCCAGCACCACCTCCACCTGAAGACGTGGACCTGCTGGGCCTGGATGGTAGCCCTATGAGCAAGAGTTTTCCCTCGCAGCCCACTGCTGCCCCCTCCAACTCAGACTTGCTGAATGATTTGTTTGGGGTTGGTGGACCAAGTTCCCAGAGTCAAAGTGGACAGCCCGCTGCTGAGGAGGTCTTCCATGTGGGAGGACCTGGATCTGTGCAGTCAACGCCTCGGCGTTCCGCAGCTTCGGCATCCCCATCCCCGTCCCCAAGGGTAGGAGAAGGTAATAGTGGCCATGCCGAGTGTGTGGCTTGGGGTGTGTACTTTGAGCATCCCACCTGGGTGAGCTGCTCTGGGCTGTTGGGTTCCTCTTGGGTACACTCATTTCATGAAAATTAAGAGCTGTGAGGGATCCCAAGAGGCCAGCCAGCTCCTCAGGTGTTGGTGTGTCTTCACACTGATGCGAGAACACAAACCAAATTACCTAGTTTGTTCCCTAAAGTCTGTACTGGAGCTCACCCAGGTGTTTGGCTCCTTACATTGACAGCCACTGGAGACCATCAGCTTTGCTCTTACTATGTGTCCAATAATGCGTATGAGTGGAATAGGCATTCATTTTAAAAAAGAAAAAAGCCTCTTAGGTTTTGGCTAGACCAATAGCAGTTTGGACTTATTTTCTCTTTTAATTTTAGAGGTTTTGGAGCTATGATACTGATCCTGGTTTATGAAATATGGCTGCACAGTTCTGCTGTTTCTGATCTTTCTGCAGACAAGATAGGCGATATGAGAAGATCTTTTGTTTCTTCAAAAACGGATGGAGATCAGGCTGGCAGAAGGAGTGGTTGCATAGATATTAGAAAGAGGGATCTTTTGGAAGGTTAAGTGAACAGAGGAGAGCAAGTGAAACAGGTGAAGAGCCCAATCCAAGTTGCTCAGACTCACTGAGGGCCTCTGGAATAGAGGGTCAGTTTGGCCAAAGGCAAAATGTGAACAAGTGGCCGGATCTGACAGCAGGTCTCTGTGCACCGCACCGAGCTGCACAGCCTTCCTGTGTTTGGTTTGGCCTAATCCTTTACGTTACAGCGTAAGAGCTGGCGTTGTCAACGCGTACCTGATTCAAGGAGAACAGTATGCTTGCTTAACTTTTTCTCAGCAAATAATAACTTAAAGCGTTTGCAGAGCCTGCCAACTTTCATGTACAGAAACAGTATTTTTTCATTTTGTTAAGGAGGCACAGGCTTGGGTAATGCTGGGGCTGATGCTGGTAGCACCTACCACAAGATGGCCATGCAGCCAATTTCTGAAGACTCTTCTTGAGTCTTCCTTTCTTGGCTAGAATAAAAAACCTGTGGGCTTGGGGAGGTTTGTCTACTAATACTCTGAAAGACCAGGTTTGCCTATGGTGTTTTTCAAAGCAAAAGGGACAGGAGCGGTTATCATCTCCTTGCACAAGACTTGTGAAGGGAGGGAAGAAGAGAACGAGGACTTGGACACAGGAGAGGGGAGAAGAATAGAAGTTTCAGTGGAAGAAATTGGGCCAGTTGTATATGGAGAAGGTTCATCTTGCTGTGGCTGTGGTATGCTCAGTCAGAGAGCTTTCGCCCAGGCATGGGAAGGTTGTGCAGACACGCACCTCATCAGGCAGAGGTGCAGCACCAGTATCAGGAAAAGATTTCTGGATGTTATTGGTGAGCAGCATAACAGGAGTTGTAGGATGCTGCTTTGCAAAGGCCAGATTGGTGCTTGAAAGGGAGAGGGGAGGTATTGCACAGCTAAATTGTCCCAAACCAGGGAAGCAAGAATAAGAGCTTGCAAGAAAAGTGAAGACTAGTAATATTTTGAGTATCCTAAACAATAACATAAGTAATGAGTAGCATCACTAAGAATGCATAGTGTCTCAGGATTGTAACTCTCTTACAGTAGTATATATTGCATCTCTGTTCAAGATGCTCTTTACCTTAAAATTGTTGGCAAATAAGAATTTGCATGACTTCATGGGGGTTTCTTTTGGTTAGGTTTGTGGGTTTTTTACATGAAAGACAGTAGGCTAAACAAATTGATTAAAAACGGACTTTGAGAATGAACTGAATTTTTGTAACAAGCAATAGTATATAGGAAAGATACTGGTTATTTTCTAAAGCTGTTTCTAAAAGACAGTCCTTTTACCCTTGACATGTATAACCTTTGACAGCCTAAAATCATGTTGGACTTCATTCAGCTCTTGAGAGGAAGCAGGAATTGTGCCAGGGTGCTAACTACAAGCTCCAGGCTGCCCCTCACCATCCGTTTATGTATTGGCAGTACGTTGAAACTTCATCTGAAGTATCTAAATACTCACTTTGCTCTGAAATTCAGCCCCTCTCTTTGGCAAAGACTGATGGGATCAACAAGTGCGTTGCCATGACCAAGTCGTGTGGTGCTCTGTCCTGTAGTGTTTGACTAGGGCCCTGGCACTTTCCAGATGCTGTCTCCTATTTGGTATCTGCAGGTATTCGGTTTTCTTCTCTGCACACCAGTGTCTTTTCCCCTGAAGCACATTCATTGTACAAGTTAATGATTTAGTTTTCCCAAATATGTTTTCACAGCAACTGCCTTTGATCCATTTGGAAGTAGCCCTAAGCAAACCGGTCCAGACCTCCTGGGTTCCTTTCTTGGTTCATCAGCTGTCCCTGGTGATCCTTTCCTTCAAGCAACAAGAAGTCCTTCACCAACTGTGCACAGCGATCCCTTTCACATGGGTAAGAAAGTGAGGCTCTTCTAGTGTATTTAAGTAAACATGGAATGCCGCTTTTAAATAGCGAAGGAGCTATGGAGTAGAAACTGATGCTTACCATAAAATGACTCTAAACCACAGAAACCCCACTAAACAGGAAAGAGCTTTTTGTCTCTAGACTTAAAGCATATTCATAATTTGCAGCGTGGTAGGATGGGACTTGTTTTGCTCAAGTCTTATACTTAATTAATAAGCTATTTGTATACAAGAGAAAAAGAGACCATGAAGGATGTCTGCCTGCATGTTCCTGTGGTTATGAGGTCTCATTTGAACCAAACTACCATTAATTGAGGTAAATAGAGCATGGCATGTTAAGGTTGCTAGAGAAAACACACGCCCTTTGGTGATTTTAGCTACAGGCATCTGCTTTCTTTAGATCTGAAGGTAATCCTGGCCAAATTCACAATTGAATTTGAAGAGAAGGGATTTTTTTCTTTATAGGACTTTTTTCTTCTCTTACTTTGTTTGAAATGTCCCTTAGTTGTCCCCTTCTCCCCCTGTGCCAAAATTTAATGTTGTAACTTTCCCTGAAACATGTTCAGATACAAATTTGTTTGTGTCTGAACATCTAACGGATGTCCCTTGGGTGCAACAGTCTTGCTGGAAAGCCAAAACAACAAAGGAGGGAACTAGTGTGCTGCTGGCACTGCTCACATCCTTCCTTTGCCAAACGCGGGTATTGGATATTAACTCTGTGAATAAGGCGGTTGGGTCCCACTTGGAGCTGGCTGCACTAATGACAGGAATTGAAATGGTATCCCAGCATGATGAGGTATTAAATTACAGTGCTAGTGCCTCTGGATAATGAACTGCTGGCAGGGTGAACTGCATAGATGTACGGGCTTTATTCGATACAGGATTAAAGGAAGGACTGTGTGTGTTCTTTCTGGTTTACATCTGTGTGCGCTGTTTCACTGTGGTTTTTTTCTCTCCATCCTTGCCCTTTGCATGTAGAATATTTCCTTGGGGTGAGATGTATTCAGAAACCCCAAACCCCACGTGTTATTCTGGTGGTAAGGCTTTTACAAATAAGTATATAAAGCCTCTGACCAAGGCCACCATAAAATGAACACTGTAAATCTGCATCCTTCCCAATTACCTCTGTACAGTATGAGATCAGAAATAAACATTAAGTTTGTAATGCCCATTGTGGTGGTGAAGTTCACTTCTAATTAGCAAATAGTAGTTGGACACAATACTGTCTCTCCTGCTGCTTGCCCCCTACCCTTCCTAGGCACTGGATGATGTTGGTTTTGCTCTGTTAGTTTGAGATATTTATATGTAATCATTCTGCTTAGCTTCTAGCACACCAACGGTTTCCATACAGCCAGATGTTTCCGGTGGTTGGGACTGGCCCAACAAACCAGGTATGTATCATAAAAATTCAGGATGCTTAACAAAAAAAACCCCTTAAGGAGCCCTCAGAGAGGAGATGCAGATGGAAGATGTTACCAATGACTGCAGAGAACAGGTTCCCTCCTGCTGCTGCTTGGCACTTTAACATCCCCATTGAAGTTTTGTCAGATTAGTCAGTCTCATCTCAGCGGCAGCAGGTATGCTGCCTGACATCCTGGTCTCCCAGTCATCCAAGTGAGGATCTGGCTAGAGATCGCCAAAGTCTTTTCAAAAATCTGGGTTTCCTTCCTCAAGAAACCAGGGCCTGCAGTGGGACAGATGCTCAGTGAGGGTGTATATACTCGTGTTTCATTCCAGTGTAGAGCCAAGAGAAGAACCTGGGACATGTTATGTTTTCCTGGGATGCCACTGAACAATAGCATGATTCTTTCTAATCTTGGGAGAGTATGTATGTCCTACCAAAAGTTGCTTCCTGAACGCTTCTAGTTCTTAAACGCTTCTGGTTCTTAAAATATATCCATTTATCACAATTACTCTGTCATTGTAGACAGTCTGGGGAACATTTTTGTTGCTGACTCTAATTGTGAGTGGGTGTGCAACTAGTCTGGGCCAACGCTGAGTTGAGACTGCTTAGGAACCTGACAATAGTACACTTAATTTTAACAGCAGTCTTCTAACATCATGTGACTGAGCACTGGGTAAGAGCTGCACTCATGTAAAACAGGGATAAAAACTGAGTTATTTTTTCCTTTTCTCTTTTTTTTTTTCCTTCTTTCCCCATGTTTAAGGTGGCCTAGGTGTGGGAAGTAAGTCAGCTGCCACCAGTCCTACTGGATCCCTCCATAGCACTCCCACTCATCAGCCTAAACCCCAAACACTGGATCCATTTGCTGATCTGGGAACTCTTGGAGCAAGTTTAGCAGGTTTGCATCCCTTATTTAAAAAAAAAAAAAAAAGTACCAGCTCTGTTTTAGAGAAATAGGATGAACAGCCTGATATGTGACAGAGCTCTGTGGGTCCTCTCAGCCTACCCGCATGCCAGTGCTGCTTTCCAGCTTTCCTTTCTACTTGATTCTCTGTAAGCTCTCACAAATCTGTGCTTTTACTGCTCCTCCATCAAAAAAGCTGCTAAGAACTTGTTAGGACCTCTGTAGTCTATACGGATTGCAAAGCATGTCTCGTAAGTCTGAAGAGTCTCTGGCTAAAGATGGTGTGGGTCTAACTCTGACTGGAGAACCATTGCTACAGACCTTGGAGCAGTGCTAGGGAGCAGACTTTGGGTCTTCCAAACCACTGAGGTCCTTGAGGAATTGTTCCCTTCTAGACTTGACTCGTTTTTGTCCTTTGTGAGGAAACCTGTGGAACCTCACTGGTCTGCCTCTAATTTGCAGCACTATCTAAGGGTGCAGTCTGAACCCATTTTCATTTGCACCTGGCTACAAAGGACTGTTTGCTTGACTGCTTAGACAAGCATTTTCTCCTTGTTTTATCTCAGAAAAGGATCAGCAAACCCTTGACCCCTGTGTTAAAAAGGCAGGTCTGACAAATTATTTAAGTTTTCCTTAAAACCCAGCATGTCAGCTTCTCTGACTCTGGTAAATAGATTTTTCTTCCCTTTGTCACTGCCCTCAGCTCTTTGCAAGCTTTGTGGTTTTAGCTGATGTTTGTTTTCTCCTTTGCGTCAGTACCAGCATGGTTCTGGAATTAGGTTTCCCAGTTCCCTCTGCTGGATCACTAGCTGCTCTGCAGGAGCAAAATAAAAAGTATGCCAAGACCCATGTCGGAGCCGTGAAGGTGTTTTTAAAACATGTGTTCTGTAGCAAAGTAATGGAGCTTAAAAACAAATGACTTGGCATCCAGAGGATACTTAACCATGTTTTTGTTGTTCATGACTAAGTCAAAAGCACTTCATTCAGTTTCCATGACATGTCTCAGAGCTCAAAGTTGAGTGTGGATGTTAGTCTCAAATAATAAAGCATCAACACTGCGTACCTCCCACCACAAACTAAGGCAGAGGAGTATCTCCTAAATAAGATGCTGGAACACACAACTCTGTGGGATAGTGTTACATCAGCACAGCATAAGGAAATACTATTTCAACATATGTCAACTTGATGTTGCCACCACAGCACACAGGAGCTGTAGTTCCCAGTTAGCTGCACGTAGCTTTCCCTGTGTTTCCCTGACGAGCTGCTACTCCAATTCCTGTGCAATCTTCAAAGGCAGGTTCTGTCTTTTAAGCAGCTTACGGAGCAGTGACAGGAAAGTTGAAGGGCTTTGCTTGATGTTGCAAAAATAAGTTTGTGGCAGAGCTGAAAATAGAAGCCAGCTGCCTGGGGGATTTTATTTAGGTTCCCTTTTTGGGGAAAACAGGACTTGGAAGGCAAGTCCTGTTTGCTAATGCATACCATCACTCCTTTCCCCCTGCCCTGCAGGTGGCCCTTCGTTTGCCAGTAAACCAACCACGCCAACAGGCATGGGCGGAGGATTCCCCCCCTCGCCGCAGAAACCCTCTCCCCAGCCCATGGGCGGCAGTGGCTGGCAGCAAGGAGCTGGCTATGGCTGGCAGCAGGCGCAACCCAAAGCCCAGCCAAGCATGCCTCATGCCTCGCCCCAGAACAAGCCTAATTACAACGTGAGTTTCTCAGCAATGCCGGGAGCACAAAATGAACGTGGAAAAGGACCAGCTAATGTTGGTAAGCTTTTCAGAGTTCAGCATCCAAAAGGTTGGCTCCTAATATTGCTTTAATGCTCAAACACCCTAAGAGGGGGGTCAAAGTAAGAAAGTCATGCTGATCATTTGATCATATATCAAGTTCAACACTAATTGTCCTGTCCTAGACTCTAATATTTAGGAAATCCTGTATTCCAAATAGGCATCAATAATAATAATTCAAAAGTAACATTAGCCCATACCTCTTTTCTGAGAACCTGCACACTCATTAGCACTAGGAGATTGTTACAGTGATAAGTGTGTGTGGGCAGCTTGGGTAGAAAAACAGCATTAAATATACCTGTATTGTAGGAATAACTTCAAATCTTCTTGTTTTTCAAGATTCAAAACCAAAAGTGTCTGCAGATTTCGAAGATCTATTATCTGGTCAAGGGTTTAATGCCCATAAGGACAAGAAGGGCCCCAAAACAATAGCTGAGATGAGAAAAGAAGAAATGGCTAAGGAGATGGACCCTGAAAAACTCAAAGTAAGCCATATTTTTGTTTATGCTCTTACAAGTCAATGTGTCTTTCGCTCTCATCGTGCTGGAGGCTGCTTGAAGCACTGTCCGGGAAAGGTGGAGGGGGCAGGAAGCCACTAGCCGTCCTGCGTGTGAGGCAGCTGAGCAAATCTTTCAGGTCACGTAGTGCCAGAAGCTATCCTCCTGTTTTAGCACTCACTTTCGTGCGGAGCCTCCACAGCATTGCTGGGTCCCAGAGACCACGTGCTCTCTCTCATGCTTGCTCTCCATAAAGTAGGTGTCTGAACTTGATGGCATCATCAACCACTGTGCTCCCCACTTGTGTGCAATGAGCTAGTGTGACCAGAAAGACAAAGTCATACACTGCAGGTGTTGGGGAATAGCTGGAAGAATCTCCACTATCTCATCAGAATGAGAGATACTACTTAGCAAAAGTGGCGAGTTTGTGAAAACTCTGTTCTGAAATAGCTTCTCACAAATACACCAGGTAAGAGCAGTGACCGGCTCTGCCAGTCCTGCTGCCAAACCCAGGTTTTGGTGAAATGAGGATGTTCTCCCCATGATGAGATTGCCTTGGGGCAGACAGTGATTAAATTCCTACTATTTGTTCATATAGTAAGTTCTCCTGCCTTCCCTGGAGATGTGAACTTCCTTTGGAATAGATTTAAAATGCCGAGGTTACATTTCTGTCCTAAACCAGACTCTGGAAAAACAGTGGCTTGCTCAGCATTACTGTCAGGGCTGCTGGTCTTCCACATCAGTCCAGCCCTGATTAGCAGGCACAGCTAATTGAACTAATCCTCTGTCTCATTAATCCTGCCTGCTTTGGAATTCTCTCATCTCACCTCAATAAATTACCAGACTACAGATCTATTATGAAGGGAAGGAAATTCAGTCTGTCCTGCTCTACATTTGCAATATGAAGCCACAAATTATAATTACAGAAGGATAGAGAGCTGAGAGGAAAAGCCCAAGCAAAAGCCAAGAAAACTTCCAGAAAACAGAATCAGTGATTTTTTTTTAATTATTTATTGTTATTATATTTTTTAATCTTGTGGAAAAGCTTTAACCTTTGGAAAGCATGTGCCAGCAACCACGCTGGACACAGACATCAGCCACTTGTAACCAAGCTGGACAGCTGTTGGGACACCAAGCAGGCAATACTTTTCCCAGTTCATAAGCTAAACAACTTCAGCGATTTCTGTGGTACTACTTAATGTGTGCAACACCCCCCAGCACACTGAAGCACCCAGCTGATTCTCCCTTCCCTCTGATGCATTTTATTTCAAATCACTTCTTCAGCCTGGAACTATTAAATCTGTTTATGCTTTGGTTTTCACATTTACTTCCCTTTCCTCCTCCCTTTCCCCAGCTGTAGGCTAAGATGGCAACCGCTAAGGGGAACTAAATCATCTAGGCAAGTGCCCTACCTGTTGCTTTATTTAACTGCTGCATTGCAGGTAGCAAATAGGCACGTGGAGGGAATTGAGGCTTCTGACTTAGAACTTAAAAAAGATTTGTATTGGAGCCAACCTTCGATGTGAGTCTTTAGAAGACTTAACGCACAAGAAGATACACATCCACAGCAGAGTTCTAGTTGAGCTTACTTTAGGTGTGCAATTAAGCTTGCTGAAGAGCCCCACAGTTAAACATTTCATTTATCTTTTCACTGTTCCATCTAATGACTGTTCCTAAGCGTTACCAACTCAGCATTTTTAGCAGGGATGTTGCTCAAGGTGTCATCTTAACTTTCAAGCAGTGTTATAAAAATTAATGACAAAGAGAATGACAAATATCATCCAAAGGTTTTCTAAAGCTTGGAAAGAAATGTAAGATGCTCCTTGGAGTCATTTGCTATTCAAATGAAGAAACTTTTTCCTACTGGAATATCTAATGTAAGGCATAAATCAAGACTCACATCCTTCTCTCCAGGTCCTGGAATGGATTGAAGGAAAGGAGAGAAATATAAGAGCCCTGCTGTCCACAATGCATACAGTCTTATGGGCAGGGGAGACCAAGTGGAAACCTGTCAGTATGGCAGATCTTGTCACGCCAGAGCAAGTGAAGAAGGTCTACCGGCGGGCAGTGCTTGTCGTTCATCCCGACAAGGTAAAGTTCTCCTAGTTTCACGTTGTTCAGAAATTGTCACTGTTCTCTTAATTATAAAGTGTTGAATGTGATTGTTTAATGTATTGGTGCAAACAGCTTTATAGAAGGTAGTAGTTCAAGATTTTTTTGCCAGTTTCTGTGAGAACTCTAACCACTCCCAGCCCCAAGACTATGCTTTGTGTGTGCTGCTCCAAGCATTCAGATCTTCAGCTTTTGTCACCCTCACTTTGACTGTAAGCCATACTGGTGGGGAACAACAGCCCAGAATACTGTGCCTGCTAACGGAGATGAGGGTGTGATAAAGGTATATGAAGGGACAGGGGTCTTAAAATCAAACTTCTAAAATGGAAGAATCAGGTTATCTGATTATCCAACTTGTGGCTTGTGGTCTCGCTGCTTACACTTGCCAACCAGAGCGCAATGACGCTGTCTGGGAAAGCCCTGCGGTGGTGATGATGCTTCCGCTTTGAAGGGAATGGAGGCCCTGAGAGTTTCAGGGCAGTGGGCAAGGCTTGAGAAGACGTGTGCTGCCCAGAGGCTTGCAGGAGTACTGCTTTTATCAGGCAACTGTGTGAGGTGGCAGCTCTTCCCCTTCAGTGCAGGTAAAATGCCTCTTGCAAAGCCTAGGTTAGATATTTTTAAATTTTTTTTGCCCTTGGGACCACAGTGCTTTATCACACTTGGGGGGTTATCACTTCTGAGGGGCAGAAGAGCTGAAGAGCCAAGAAATTCGTAAGCTGTGAGCAAGGTAAGCAGCCCTCAACTGTAGCTTACTCCTGTGAAAGAATAAGTGAAAACCATTCATGGAAAGTGAATGATAACTGCTTGAGAATCTAGCTGCTCAAATGTCAACTTTTTGTAGTCTGATTTGGTAGATGTGTGTTTTATAGTCTGGTTTGGTAGATGTGATATCCCTCTTTCTCTTTTTATTCCAGGCTACTGGGCAGCCATATGAACAATATGCAAAGATGATATTTATGGAGCTAAATGATGCCTGGTCAGAATTTGAAAACCAAGGACAAAAACCCTTGTATTAACTACTTTCTCTGTCTCCACTACAGACCTGTGCTAGTGCTTATATAGTCTCTTGTCACAAATGTCACAGATCAACCAAACTCTGGCTGGAAATTCAGAAGTTTTGTAAAACTAAAAGCCTAATACTTATCATGAAGAACAAGAGAAAGGTTTCCTTATACTTGTAGCAAGAATCCTGAGCTCAGAGGAACTCTAGCCACCTGGCTTGCCATGTGAGAGCCACGGGGTTACGGTTTCTTGGAACTTTTCTATTTTTCTTTAGATTCAAGTGGGGCGAGAGAGGACACATTCTAGGAAAAGGTGGAATTGTTCTGTCTCCGACACAGTGTAACTAGTGAATTTCCTATTTATTTATTTTTTTTGGTGTGATATGGCAACACTTCAGTTGAGTTCAATAACTGGTGGTGAAGCCCAAACTTTGATGTACTTTCTTCCTAGGTTTGGATCAAACTTTATCAAATTTAAGTGCTCAGATATGGTTTAGGCGCACTTCTAACAGTCACCATTTGCTGCTTAATTGCTCCTACAGCGTAGTATGCCTGAATTAGAGACAAAGCTGAATCCTGGGTTAGATCAGTGTGGCAGCTGACTGCTGCTGCTTTACACATTAGTACTGTACTTCACCTCACAGAATAGGGAATTGGAGGGGAAGAGTGAACCCGGATTTGTAAAAGTGAAGAATGAGCATGTACCCATGAAGTTCTCATCAGTAGCTTGAAAACATCAAACAAAAGAAATACTGACAAACTAAATCTCTGCTGCAAAGTTTTAGAAACTTCCCAGTCTATAGGTAACACTTCCCCTCCTGAGGATTCAGAAGACTTTTTCCAGCCCACTTGTATCACCTCTATGCCTTTATCAGCTCCAGAGCACTTGGCGAAGGCTCTTGGCAGGGTGCAACCTGTTGCAGCTTCACTTTTCAGACCACGGTGTGCAAGCTGTCATGTAGGCATCTGTGGACCAGGTCTGATTTTTGAGGTAAATACAGTACAAATTGATTATCTTAAAAGTTTATATTGGACCAAAGCAATAATATCACAAGGAAATATCTCTGATGCTACAGCTGAAGCATCTTTCCTAGTTAAATGAGTTACGTTCTTCACCCCAAATTCTGGCATTCTCCTTTTGAAGAATAACTAAAGCTAGCAGTTTCTTTACCAACATGTTGTATCTGTATTTGAGCTTTGAAAGGGCAGGTATGTTCAGAAGATGGGCAGGAAATCATTTGTATTTACTGCTTGAGGAATAGGTTGCCATCCAATGCGAGTCTTTAAAGCTGGTGGTTTTTAAAGACAATCCACTTGTTGTTGCACTTACATTTTCAAGTGGCAAAACTTTTACTGCAAAGACAGTGTGTCAAAGTACACTGCTTTCTGTATAAAAATCATCCTTTTGTTGTATTGGTCCATTATTTACTACCATTAATTGAAAATGTGAAACCAACACATAGGTCTCCTTTTATATAAAAGACCTTAAGATAATAGTAACAAACTGGATGTTATTTATTAATGTTTTGATCCAGTATGTGCTTGTCTTATTTAAAGAGATAACTGGAATGTGAATCATGTTCCTGTGATTTGTTGGTTTATTGTTTCTCATTCACATTTGTAGATATTGTGACCTATGCCTATATAATAAAAAGGATCTCATTACTATAATGTACTTTTTTAATGATGAAAACTACATTAGCTTTGTATAGAGTTTGTCATGGCACATAACTCTGGATACTCATACGTTCACAAAATACAACTCCATTGTTAAACTTTATCCACCAAAAGAAACCCTACCCCACTTATGCTTTGATTACTTCCATCCCTAATGTTTTTATGGATGCATGAAAGTATTAGGATGTATGTATATCAAAATAGTTAACTAAAAAAAATTTAAAAATTTCTTGTCATATCTGGTAGTGACAGAGGTTATCAATGTTCAGGTTTACTGTTTGACTAAATTATTGTAATTTTTGTAAATACAGTATATACTCAATGAAATTGTGACTGGTCTAAAACATTTGTACATACATTAAAAAGCTCAAATTAACATATTCAGATTTTTTTTTTGTGCTTGTGGGGAAAAACCTCTACCTTCTTCCTTTAAACACAGTTCAGACTAATTTCTCTGCAAATGCTGGGTAAACGACGACGAATCCACATGCCTTAAATGGAAACTTCTTTTGTCTGCAACTTCTTCCATGCATGACAAACGCCTCTGTCATCATTCTAGTGCGGGGTTAGGTGAGACCTGTGATATACACAAAGGTAACAAGAAATTAGTTGCTGGAGAGACAAATACTTTCTTTTACTACAACTCATTTCCTCAAGAGCAAACATTTCCGTTCCCATTACTGCGAGCAGATTGTAAGAACAGTAAGGGTTTAATTTAGACAACTTTTTGCAATGGAAAAAGATGCAGCCTTTCATGTGTAAGAGCAAAACCCTTTGACTCAGCTGAAACAGAAAACGAACTTGCTTCTGCCTTCTGCTTGCTTAGACAAGGTAATTCACAGGTCGGCGTTCCAGGTGCTTTTCCCAAATTAAGACATTTTGGAAATAATTTGTCACTACCTATTCTTATGCTACTAGGCTTCAGAGACTCACAGCCAAGCAAGTCAGCACATGCTAAATGCCTCAAGTGAACACTTTATTTACTTAAACCCTGCTGGTTTAATTGGGCATTCTTTTTTGTACTAAATTATTTAAAAAAAATTATTAAATTGGGGAAAAAAGCTGTATCAGAGAGTATGAAACAAGATGATCTGATAGGCAGAGATGGGAGATATCTAGAGAAAACCTCTCTGGGCAGGTATAGCAAAAAGTATGTGCAACATTTTCCCTCAAAAAAGCTGGTTTTGGGTCAAAAATGGGGTCCCAAAAATCTGAGGCTTGGAAAATACCGCTCAATTAAAAAAAAAAAAAAGTGCCCTTCTTGCCACAGATTAGCAGAAGGTACCACATGAAGTGAGCAGGCAGCTGGGCCTGGTTTTGGGGTGAAAAAAAGGCTTTTAAGGACCAGCTTGTAAAATGGCAGTGACTGATGGGTGGGGGCTCTTTAAATCAGTATTTATTTAAATCGTGCCTGTGCGCACATATATACATCTATATACACACCTTGCATATACATATAGACGTATATTTGTGTGTATATACATTAAACACCCGCCCCAAGGCCTGACTCGGCGAAACACCG